GCTGCGCGCGCGAACCTGTCGGGCGTCGATTTGGCGCGTCAGGCTACGGGGTGCTCTCGCGCAAGATGGATTCACAATCATGTGCTGACTCGGCCCAGTCGCACCATTGGTCATTGGTCGCACGGGCGCGAACGCTGCCATGGGCGCCGTCACATTAGCGCGCGTTGGCCCTGCCCACTCGGATCTCCAGACCAACGCAGGCGAGTCTTCTCGCGCGAATCGCAGGCCTGCGCCCCCATCGACCCCTCTTCGTCGCCCGATCGGGGCCGGCGCATGGGCTTCGCCGACGAGGGGCCTTGCGCTTGCCAGGTACTGGAAGCGTCGAATTGCATTGCCCTGCCTCCAGACATGGGAGCTCAGCGCGCAGCGGTGGATTGCTCATTGCCGTTGGCCTGATCCATTCAGGGCCATGCGGCCCCCGCGCGGCGCCGCGCCCCCCTCCCGCCCCCCGCTCCAATCGCGGGCGCGGCTGGTGGGTGGGGGGGGGGGGCGAGGCCCTGCGGCGCAGCGCGCGCGACCCTCTGGGGCGCGCCGATGGGGGAGCGCGGTCTAACTATAATGGCGCGCTCGCTTTATCTAGCTCGAGAACTCGCGCCGCTTGCGCTGCGCAGCTCCGATTGCGCATTGCTCCTTGACCGACGAGCCAGAGGCCCCATTCGGGCCGCCCCCACCCCGCCCCACACCGCCCGCGGGCGATTTCTGTTCAGCAGCGGAATTTCAGATGCGTCGCGTAACATCATGACCAATACTCGCGCGATTACGTCTGCCAGTTTACATTTGCATGTTATCATGCGCAGTCCGAGTGCCAGTGTCTAGCGTCGCGCGCGTTTCCGCGTGGCTAATGCTGCGTGGAAGGCGATGCCGCTCCGCCCATGTCTTCACATCACCCATGTCTTTACCGGGGGGGCCCCCCCCCCCCCCCACCCGCGTGGAGGAGCGACTCCACCTGGCCCTCCAGCAGCTGTCTTGCCAGGCCGCGCGTGGACAAGCCCGGGCTCGCGCCCCCCCCCATCGCCCTTCGCGAGGTCTCGCCTTGCTTGCCCGCCGCGGCCTATGATCTCCCGCCGGGACACAGCTGGGGCGCCCGCCGTGACATCCACCACCAGGCACACTGCAGAATGGCCCTTCCCCATGGCCGCGCGGCGCCCCATTGATTGGGATTCTGGGTTGCGCTCCAAAGCGGTCGCATCCGATGCCCGCGAAGCACGGCGGGCACCCTCCGAGAAGAAAGGTTCCATAATGTTTCGATCCATAGGCACTGGCTCTAGCAGACGGCCCCGCGCGCCCCCCGCTGCCTATCCCATTTGCCCCCGAAGGTTCTGAAGAAATTGGACTTGCGCAGGCTGCGGGCACCTGGCTTCAGCATTTCGCCCAGCGAAAGTCGGCGCAGTCTTGCCCGTTGGGCTGGCGCATACATGCGGCGCCAGCGTTTCCGATCGCCTGGTTAAGCTCGTGGCCAATGTGCTGCCCTCAGCGGCCCCGCTGTCGCCCTCTGTGGCCCCGTGTACGAATGCCTCTCGTGGCCCCCGCAAAGGGGAGGGGGGGGGTCCGACCCGCATGTGGGCCGAATCCCAACCAACTGGGCCCAATCCCAACGAACTGTGACCAATGCCATCAGTGCGAAAAGCAAACTGGGCCCAATCCCAACCTGCTTAGGGTAGCCTCACAATAAGATTTAAATTGTAGAGAAGCCCGAGACGACTGTGAAGACCAAGTGACACCTCTTATATCGACGCAGAGGTTCTGGAAGCCAACATGCGTGCCAGAGTTGGAAGTGGTCTCCAAAGGCAAGAGGCCACCAAAGCGTAAGCAACACCGAACCGAATAGCATCGTTTCTGAAATATACAAAATGAACCCTCGAATTAGTAGTAGTTGTAGTAGTAGCAGTTACAGAAACTAGTAGTAGTAGTAGTAGTCAGTAGTGGTGTAGTAGTAGTAGTGTTAGTAGTAGTAGTAGTAGTAGTAGTAGTAGTAGTAGTAGTAGTAGTAGTAGTAGTAGGAGTAGGAGTAGGAGTAGGAGTAGGAGTAGGAGTAGGAGTAGGAGTAGCTAGCCAGCTCGAGCGAGTCAAGCATGGCATGCCCAGTCCCACCCGCCCTCCCACAACATAAGAAGCAAAGCTGGCACAACTGGGGGCCGAAGTCACACCGGCCAGCCGGTTTGGTACAGCTGATGCGGCCGCGATGGCGGTTGCCGACGGGAACTGGCGAGCGCGTGTTGAATGCCGCGCACGCATTGCCAGACGAGTCGAGAATGGCCCGGTACACCGCAGGAAGCCAGAGGTGGCCGGAGGAAGCCCGACGGTCTGACAGGACACCCCAAAGCATTTTTGTGAAAAAGCATTGGGTTTTTGATGTTTTTATGTTGAAATGCTTGCAAACACACGGTGTTCGGTAGGATTCTGACATGAACGCGCGAGTGTGCTCTTTGTGGTATTTTTTGCACAGGATTCGCGGCCTGGGTGCATGACAGAGCATCGCGAGTGCACCGCGCGATGGCGTGAAATCGCTGGATTTGACAGAATTCTTAAGATTCCTATGGTTTTCCTATGATTTCAGCAAGAGAGCCCGGGCGGGAAATTTGCACAGTTTTTTTGTGAAAAAAAAAAACATTTGGTTTTTGATGTTTTTATGTTGAAATGCTTGCAAACACACGGTGTTCGGTAGGATTCTGACATGAACGCGCGCGTGTGCTCTTTGAGTTTTTTTTGCAATGGATTATCGCCGTGGACGACAGGACGTCCATGTCGAGAGGAAAAAATAAGAAAAATGTTGATTTGTATTGTTTTTTACAGGATAGGATGGGACCACCCGGATGCGCCCGCTATCTGCCGGCCTGAGGGGGGAGTAGGAGTATATTCGAATAAGGAATAAGGATATGAGTAGGAGTAGGAGTAGAGTAGTAGTAGTAGTAGTAGTAGTAGTAGTAGTAGTAGTAGTAGTAGTAGTAGTAGTAGTAGTAGTAGTAGTAGTAGTAGTAGTAGTAGTAGTAGTAGTAGTAGTAGTAGTAGTAGTCGTAGTCGTAGTAGTAGTAGTAGTAGTAGTAGTAGTAGTAGTAGTAGTAGTAGTAGTAGTAGTAGTAGTAGTAGTAGTTCCGAAAAGGAATTCCGAAGAATCCGAAGGAATCTGGAGGAATTCTAAAGATCCCATCCATGGTTGTAATTTGTTTCATTTCTGGTTGGAATTGGTCTCACTTCTGGTTGCAATTCGCTCCGGACGGTTGGAATTGGGACAAGTCGGTTGTAATTCGTTCCATTTCGTGTCCGACCCCCCCCTCTTTGGTCGCCAAATTCGACCCCCCCCCCTCCCCCCCCCCTTTCGCCACGAGCGCTCATGCGCTCGCACCTCACCCCCCCTCCTTCAGCCAGCGTCGAGGCGGGACCCACTATTGCCGCCCCCGTCGCCTCTCTTGGCTTTCCTCCTACAGAACAGGAGGTCTAGGCGGGGAGCGCGGCAAGACGACGAGAGCTCGCGAACTCTTCGCCATGCCTGCGTCCCACCACCAGCCAGCGTCGACGGTTTCGCGGCGGCCTCTGTCCGGCCCTCGCACGGGCTCCCCGCCCAGGCCCAGCACGGCGCGCGCGCCTCGAGCATCGGCCCCGGCCGGGGGGGCCTTCCGCGTGGACGCGCGGCTTGCATTCTGCCAGGAGGGGAAGAAACACACGGACACAATGAATCGTCGATTCCCCCAGAAAATATTTGAAAATATGGGAAGTGGGGGGGGGAGACAACAACCCAGAACATATGGGAAAATATGTGGAATTTTGATATCTCCGCCATCGCGGTACGACGCCTTTTCCGAACCCCACTTCGCCCGTGTTTTTTTCGGGGACGTCGGACGCCACTCGGGCCAACGACTGGCCCGATGCCTCCCGCGCCGCGCAGGCGCGCCCCGCGCTGGGGGCACTGCGGGCCGAGGCGCAGCCTTTGCAGCCGCGCCTGTTCGCGCGCATCAGGCCGTCGTCCCCGTGCAGCAACTATCCTCGGCCCGCGTATTCGTTCGCGCTGCGCGAGCCCCCTTTCGCAACATCCGCCAGCTCATCATCTATAGTGGCCTTGCAACAAGCGGGCCATCACAATTTAAATCCCCCTCCGACCTCACTCTGAAGCAGCTTGGCAGCAAGTCCTTGCGCCCGCCTTCCCGCCGCCCACCCTCCGCCAGCGCCCCCGCCCGTGGGCGAGCTGGCTTCCCAGCGCACCTGTGCGGCCGAACTGCGTCCGCGCGCGCTGCGAGGCGCTATCCTGGGGCAGCGGCCTGGGGGCGCGCTATTTACCGATGCGGCAGCAGCGCCCCCCCCCATACCGGCCCATTCTCTCCGCGCACGTTGCGTCCAAATCCCTTCGTTCATTCAGGGCGAACGCGCCACCCAGCCGCGCTGCAGGTGTTGCCGCGAAGCACGTGCGCGTGGACTCCTGCTCCTTTGGCGGCTGCGCCTGATTATATTTATATATATATATGTAGTTTTGAAAGGAAATGGTATTTCTCAGGAACTTATCGTCTGCTTGCCCCTGACAGTGGCAGTGATTGTCGATGCTTGCGTTCGTTGGCGTCGACATTAACTGCGAGCTTATCGAGGCCAGGTGCCTCTTCTGATTGTGCGGCAAAGGCTCGATTGCGCACGGACACAAGCCACGGGGGCCTAGTTTTGGAATGGACAGATGAGGATCGAGCCGCGCAAGGCGCGACGACGTCGGCAGACGACGACGACGACGACGACGGAAAACGACGACGACGACGACGAGAGCGGACGACGGACGACGGGCGACGGACGGCGGACTTCGGACGACGGGCGACGGACGACGGACGACGACGACGACGACGACGGCGGCGACGACGACGACGACGACGACGACGACGATGACGAGCGACCGCGAGCGACGGCGAGGCGAGGCACGGACGTCGACGACAGACGGCACGACAGACGGCGACGTAGACGGCGACGGCGACGGCGACGGCGACGACGACGGCGGCGACGACTTCGAGCGCCCACCGCACCCCCAGGAGGGCGGCGCCACCCCGCGCGTGGCCGACGCCTGCGCGCCGCTGCCCCCTGGG